CGACGGGGTGAGCTCCCGTTGCTTGGTCCCTGCTCCTGCCAACCTAACAGTTTGAAAGCACGTCAAAGTGCAAGTAGATAAATAGGTACCGCTGTGGCGGGAAGGTAAACGATGTTTCCGTGTGCTGCTCTGGTTCATCAGAAGTGGCTTAGTCATGCTGGCCACATGATCCGGAAGCTGTATACCGGCTCCCTCGGCCAATAAGTCGAGATGATCACCGCAACCCCAGAGTCGGCCATGACTGGACCTAACGGTCAGGGGTCCCTTTACCTTTTTAATACTTCTGGTTGGGGACATCATGCTGCTCCTGGGATAGTTTGTCCACCATTGGTCTCCACCCTGCATTCAGCTGTCAACATGCGACAGCAGCCACACCCCAGGAATGGCTTCCACTGGCCAGCTAAACCACGTGAGGATATAAGCTATGGCATGCCATAAGACAGCACTGTCAAAATGAGAAGGAAGATCATCCTGTGCTTTCTAGGTAAAGGTAAAGGCAAAGGACCCCTGGATGGTTAAGTCCAGTCAAAGGCGACTATGGAGTTGCGGCACTCATCTTGCTTTCAGGCCGAGGAAGCTAGTGTTTGTCTGCAGACAGTTTTCCAGGTCATGTGGCCAGCAGGACTAAAGTGCTTCCGGCGCAATGGATCACCGTGACGGAAGCCAGAGCGCATGGAAACACTGTTTACCTTCCCGCCACTCCGGTACCTATTTATCTGCTTGCACTGGCAATGCTTTTGAACTGCTAGGTTGGCAGGAGCTGGGACAGAGCAATGGGAGCTCACTCCGTCGTGGGGATTCGAACTACTGACCTTCCGATCAGCATGCCCAAAGAGGCTCAGTGGTTTAGACCACAGTGCCACCCGCGTCCCTTTGCTTTCTACAGTAGGGGTAGCCAACATGGTAGCTTCTGGAAGCCTTTGGACTACAACTCCCACCAGCCCCTATCAGAATGGCCAATACTAGGGGTGATGGGAGATGGAGTCCAGCAAAGGAGGGCATCGTACTGCCCACCCTTGTTCTATGGACTTATGGGTGAAATGGTGAAATGCTGCTTCTTCACACTGTGTCCTATCCAGGTTTCAGCAGCCATTTCATGGAAGGCAAGTCTCACAAAGTTCTCTAATCTTTGCATCTTCCAGTTATTGTCATTAGGAAAGGGCACCTGGCCTTCTCGCTGCCGCCATCCCTTGATGCTAGAAGCAGCATTAAAAAAAAAAAAAAGTTTGATGGCTGGAGGAGACAAAGGAAAATGAAGGCCGTGGAATGATTGATGGACGTGACACTCTTTGAACTGAGAATAGCGAGTGCTGCAAGGCACTGATAAATGGAAATGATGGCTTGGATAATGAAGTCTGTTTTAGAAATATCAGGAGCTGAAGATCCCCTGAAGGGAAAAGGGGGCAGGCCCAATTCCCATAATTCTCTCTGGTGGTAAATTATGATGGGTCTGGAGATGGATCTTTTTGTTTTGTTTTGCTTCTGCACTACAGAATGTCACGGTGCTTTCCATTGCCAGGCTTCTAAGTAACATCACATTAGAGGTCTGCCACATTCTGAACATCCCAGACATGCACATTAAAAAGGTCTTGTAGCATCCTGAGGAATCCACCAATTAGTCACAGTTAGAAAAATGAAGGAAGGGGGCTCCTTCTCTCTGACAGGGGCTTTGCAGAGTCTTTGGACTGTCTCTCCTTGAGGCCAAAGTTAAGGGTATGAAATATTTTTTGTGATTTCATTAACTGTAATTTATTCCAAAAACATTATTATAATTTCTCCTGGGAGGTGGAGGGAGGCTGCAACCCTGAGCCCACTTAGCTAGGAGTAAGCTGGATTGACTTCAGTAGGACTGACTTCTGAGTAGACACGCTGAGGCTTTTGCTGGTGAGGCGAAGTGCCAGCTGCCTGTTGAGAGCAAAGACATTGTAGTGACTGTTTCTAAGCACTATAATCTTCCATTGGTCTAAGATGGAGGTGGGGAACCTGAAGTCCTTCCCATGTTGTTGGACTCCATTTCCCAGCAAGTCCTGCTTGCATAGACAGTGATTGGTATCATGGGAGCTATAGGGTCTGCGTCAGGTGTGGGAACCTTTGTCCCTTCAGATGTTGTTGGACTACAACTTTCCTCATGCCATTGGTCATGCTTTTTTGGGTTGATGGGAGTTGCTGCTCAGCAACATCTAGGGTGCCAAAGGTTTCCCAACCCTGGTCTGTATAAATCTATAGAATAGTTATGGATATGTATGGATGTATTCATGTCCTGGAACGCAGGTGGCGCTGCGGGTTAAACAGCGGTCGGCGGTTTGAATCCCCGTGACAGGGTGAGCTCCCATTGTTCAGTCCCTGCTCCTGCCAACCTAGCAGTTCGAAAGCACATCAAAGTGCAAGTAGATAAATAGGTACCGCTCTGGCGGGAAGGTAAATGGCGTTTCCGTGTGCTGCTCTGGTTCGCCAGAAGTGGCTTAGTCATGCTGGCCACATGACCCGGAAGCTGTATGCTGGCTCCCTCGGCCAATAAAGCAAGATGAGCACTGCAACCCCAGAGTCGGTCACGACTGGACCTAATGGTCAGGGGTGCCTTTACCCTTTACCTTTATTGATGTCCTAACATTAGGAATTAACATTTTAGAATTTTATTTCTAGTTGCATTGTTTCATCACAAATGTGCCTACTGCCCTGGACTCCTTTGGGAGGAAGGGCGGTATATAAATTTACAAAATAAAAAAATAGACATGGCCTGTATCAATATCCAACAGATTAAGAACAACATGCAAATGTGCAAACACTCTGTCACGATGCTCACCCTTAGAGTTGAGTTTGCAGAGTTAAGACCATTCAAAAGCATTTTATATCTGCTTTCCACCATATTTCTCCCATTACAGCTCTTGTAAATACTGTATAGCCTTTCCTCCGGGAGAAAACATGCACAGCCTTTGTGTGTGAAAGAAATCCTGATTTGCTTACAATTGTGTTGCTCTTGTCCGTAAATCTTTTATTAGGAAGAAGTTGCAAGGCTGGGATCCTACTTCCATGAGTTGCTTTTCAATAGCCCGTCCCTTACTTTTTTATTTTATGATAAAGTCAGAAAGGTTATTATCCTTTCCCTGATCATTGTTCTGCATTGATTTTGAAGTTTCTGACCAGATCGCTATTGAGAGGTGTAAGAGCAAATTCAGAGTGGACCAGGAAAACATGAGAAGTGGGATTTCTACCCCTGGGAATTGAAATGCTCTTTGGGATTTTTCCAGTTTCCACGTTGGACCTGACATGCATCCCTCCCTGGTTAAACACAGGGTTGATCCCTTGATTAATAATAATAATAATAATAATAATAATTTTATTGTTTATACCCCGCCCATCTGGCTTGGTTTCCCCAGCCAGTCTGGGCGGCTTCCAACAGAATATTAAAATACATGATACCATTATAAAATGATTGATGCCATTGTCTGATATTGTCTGCAACTGTGATACAAGGAGCATGTGAAGGGGATTCACAGGCTCTTCTGCATTTATCAAAGAGGACATCACATACTTGACCTCAGAAGAGCTCTATGCGCACACATGCCAGTGTTTGAAAATACTGCTTTTCCACATCGAAGCAGGCTTTCCTTTGGCATTCATAAGGACTAGTAACATTTCCCCTCCTCTGTACAAAAAAGAAAATATGAAAGCTGAATGAGTGTTTTGCTATGTGGATAATTCCTAGCTCTATTCCTTTTATCTGCCACAGCTAAAACCCATCTAAATTATGATAATTCCAGACCCTCAAAGTGTCCCTATTTTCCAGGGACAGTCCCAGATTTACAGAAGCCATCCTGGCTTCTGATTTGATCCCAGAACGTCCCACTTTTCCTTTTCATTGGAGAAATGTTGGAGGGTATGGAGCTATGTGAACCGCCCCCCGAGCCAAGGAAATAAGTAACTATACAGTCATACCTCAGAAGTCTAACACTTTGTGAGTCGAATGTTTTGGCTCCTGAACACCGCGAACCCGGAAGTGAGTGTTCTGGTTTGTGAATGTTCTTTGGAACCCGAACGTCCGACGCAGCTTCCATGGCTTCCTATTCGCTGCAGGAGCTTCCTGCAGCCAATAGGAAGTTGTGCCTTGGTTTCCGAATATTTTGGAAGTCGAATGGGCTTCCGGAACGGATTCCGTTTGACTTCCAAGGTACGACTGTACAATCTTTAGAAGACATTTGAAGGCAGCCTTATATAGGGAAGGTTTTTTTAAAATGTTTATTTTTTTATATACAGTGGTCCCTCGGGTTAAGTACTTACTTCGTTCTTGAGGTCCTTTCTTAACCTGAAACTGTTCTTAACCTGAAACACCACTTTAGCTAATGGAGCCTCCCGCTGCTGCCGTGCCACTGGAGCACGATTTCTGTTGTCATCCTGAAGCAAATTTCTTAACCCGAGGTACTACCGTATTTTTCGCCCTATAGGACGCACTTTTTCCCCTCCAAAAATGAAGGGGAAATGTGTGTGCTTCCTATGGGGCGAATGCAGTTTTTCGCTGAAGCTTGGAGAGCATAGGGAGCCCTGAAGCAGAGCGCCCCTCGCGCCGGGCAGACATCCACAGCGTGTTGGAGCCCTGCGGGAGTTCCCCGCAGGGCTCCCCACGCTGAGGATAGCAGCCTGCCACCCGGCGAGCCCGGCCAGCCCCACAAGCTGTTCCTCGACCTGGTTCGGTTTCCCCGACCTGGTTTTGGGGGGGAAATAAAGGAAAAAAAAACATTTTCCTTTATTTCCCCCCCAAAAAACTAGGTGCGTCCTATGGGACGGAACGTCCTATGGGACGAAAAATACGGTATTTCTGGGTTAGCAGAGTCTGTAACCTGAAGCGTATGTAACCTGAAGTGTATGTAACCCGAAGTACCACTGTATGTTGGAAGCCACCCAGAGTGCCTGGGGCAACCCAGTCAGATGGGTGGGGTATAAATAAAATTATTGTTATTGTTATTGTTATTAATTGTTGTTATTGAATAGGACATCCCTATTTTCATCGGAGAAATGTCGAAGGGTAAGTAATTTAGAGAGGCTAAAGTGTAGGTAAGTAAAGGGAGGGGGAAACCAAGGTTCAACAGCCAAGATGAGGAGCCACTGTGGAAATGCATGGTCAGTCTTGCAGCTGCTAGAACTTCCTCCTGTTCCTTGGTATGTTTACTCTGCAGAACAGATGGGCATCTGTAAAAATAGAAGAAGGTCCCTTTGAGATCTGGGAAGATGTAATCTTGCCTCCTGCTTTAGAAATGCAGAGTAAAAGCTGCCCCCTAAGCTAGTGTGTTGCTCTTTTTATACATATAATGGTGCGAGTTCAAATCCCAGCTTATGGTACGTGAAGCTGTAAAGTTAGTTTTATCTTCCCCTCAAGTTTGTGCATGTCACAAAGGATATGTTTATGGCTGGATAAGATTCCGTGTGATTGACAGACTGCACACAAGAGGTCAGGAACTTAGGTAGAAGGAGGGGGTGTGGGTAAAAGCGAGGTCTCTCAGAAGGGCTTTGCTATGTGTGCACGACCGGCTTTCTGCTTATATTCATACGCTCCCAGAATACCTGGGTGCATTTTGCAAGCCGTTCCAGTCTGCCCTGTGAAAACCTCTCTGCAGGCAGCATTAATGCTTTCTAAGTAAAGAAATCCTGCTTCTCAGTGCGCCCGCTCTTCTTAAGGTCCAAAACAAATGCTGCTATAATGAGTGATTCAACTGAAATGGGGAAACTGTCTTCCTTATAAGAAAAATCTCCATGTTTTACATTTTATTTTTATTTCAGAAATTTTATATTGTAATCAAACCACAAAGCCATTTGTAGAGTAGCTGGACGATTTAGCATTAGGGTTTTTTTGGGGGGGGACTGGAATCAAAGGAGCAAGTTCACAAATCCTGATTTTCTTTTTCTTCTGTTGTCATGCTGCGTAACTTGGGGAGCCTCACCACACGTCTAGACATTTCTCTTTTCCTCCCCACTTTGTGCTGTCATCTCTGTTTTCAGTGACAGCTTTCAAATACTTACTTTGACATAATCATATGGGACTTCTCATCTTTCCAGCTGAATCCAAAACTTCTGTCCCTGTATATCTGCTGCCAAGTCATATCAACTTTTGTGACATTCTGCCAACGCACCATTTGGTGTGGCCTGTTCTGAACATTTTATTTGTCTCTTTGGCATGCCTTGGTTAGAACTAGGTCTTTGTAAAAATAAAAATAAAAATATCCTTCTACCTTTCCATCGAAAAAGAGACAGACACTTCACCGCTCCAGGCGGCTAACAGTCAATTTAAAATGAACAATAAAACATTAAGATCGTCATCAACGGCAAGGAGAGGAGCCCTGCAGGTGAAATATTTCTAGGTCAGCAGAATTTACTCAATACAGTGGTACCTCGGGTTACGAACTTAATTCGTTCCGGAGGTCCGTTCTTAACCCAAATCCGTTCTTAACCTGAGGCGCGCTTTCGCTAATGGAGCCTCCCGCTGCTGCGACGCTATTTCCGTTCTCATCCTTGGGCAAAGTTCGCAACCCGAGGTACTACTTCCGGGTTAGCAGAGTTTGTAACCCGAAGTGTTTGTAACCTGAGGTACCACTGTAGTAGTATTACTATCAAACAGGTCCTCCCCAAAATGCTCTGGAAAAGGTCTGTTCTTTACTTGCACAGCCATGATGGAACCAGGTGAGTCTCCCTTTTGAGGGCATTCCACAATTGTGGCACCTCAGTAGAAAGAAAGAAAGAAAGAAAGAAAGAAAGAAAGAAAGAAAGAAAGAAAGAAAGAAGGAAGGAAGGAAGGAAGGAAGGAAGGCCTATCCTGCATGTTCACCCATAGTGCTTCTGATGGTGGGGAAATAAGAGAGAAGGGCTTGTGATGTCAGTCTACTTGTTCAGGAAATACCTATAGGAAGACGTGGTCCCCAAGCTATCCCAGTCCATTTTAGGGACTTAGGAGTTAAAACAGCATTTACAACTGGTATCTGAAACAAACTTCTATTCAGTATATACACTGGAGTGATATTCTCCACACACTTGCTCCAGTTAACACACCAGGGGCTAAATTTCGTACAAGCTGGAGCTTTTGAGAGCCTGTTGAAGGCAGCCGCACATAGAGCATATTGCGGCTGGGAGCCTATGGCCCTCTGAAGATTGCTGGACTACAGCTCCCATCAGCCCCAGCAAGCATGGCCAATGAGCAGGGGTGATGGGAGTTTGCAGCTCGGCAACCTCTGGAAGGCCAAAGGTTCCCCACCCCCGCAATAGCCCAAGGTGGATAGTAATAAGGCTGGGGTGAACCAGCTGGAGTTGGTAAAAGGTACACATGCGCGGGCACATGCTGTGGGGAGCTCTGCCCCCTTCTTGTTTCATTTGCACGCATGCATGCACACAGAGACAAACAAACAAACAAACAAACGTCTCTACAAGCACTTTTACTTGCTGAAATGTCTTGCCCAATCAAGAAATCATCCCAGCTTCTCCCTTCAATTCTGCAGCCTCTTTTTGCACCCATGTTTACCTGCACGCCCATATCCACACCTCCTTCTTTTTCCTTTTCCTTTTATATTATTATTTTAACAAAATGATAATAATAAAGAATAAATAAAAATGTGCAACCCACCCCCAAGACCATGGGTAGGCAAATTAAGGCCCGTGGGCCAGATCCAGCCCAATCGCCTTCTAAATCCAGCCTGCTGATGGTCCGGGAATCAGCGTGTTTTTACATGTGTAGAATGTGCCCTTTTATTTAAAATGCGTCTCTAGGTTATTTGTGGGGCCTGCCTGGTGTTTTTACATGAGCAAAATGTGTGCTTCTATTTAAAATGCATCTCTGAGATATTTGTGGGGCATAGGAATTTGTTCATTCCCCCCCCCCAAAAAAAAATATAGTCTAGCCCCACACAAGGTTTGAGGGACAGTGGACCGGCCCCCTGCTGAAAAAGTTTGCTGACTACTGCCCAAGACTGTTCCATTGTAACTATCCAACCTCCCAAAATGTCAACACCTCTCGCGATGGTTTGACCCCTTTCCGTTTTAACGGTACAAATTCTACAAATACCTTCCATATCTCCTCAAAATCATTTCTCCTGTGTATTCCCTGTCTTACCTTAATAGCACATGTTAATTTATCATTAATCCCACACCTTTTTATACCATTCTTCCATTTTATATTCACCTTGCCCCTTCCGCTTTCTAGCCATAATAACTCGTGCAGCTGTCAATAAATTTGTGAGCAAGTCCTTCACAGCCTGCAAACCTTCCACTCCATTGTAAATTGATAATAATGCTACTTCTGGAATTTCAGTCAGCTTTAACCCAGTGGTTTCTGTTATCTCCTTAAACACCCTATGCCCCAAAATTGTACATATTTACACCCCCACCTCATGTAAACATAAGTCTCGGTTTCCTGGCATCCCCTTCCAACATAACACCGAATATTCCTTGTTTATTTGATTTAATCTTACTGGTGCTAAATACCATCTCCATACTAACTTATAGTAATTTTCTTGTATCCTTATAGACAACATTTTTAAAGTGTGTTTCTCCCATATTTTCCTCCAGCTTTGACTATTTATCTGCCCTGTTATCTCCTTTTCCTGTTGTTGTTTAGTCGTTTAGTCGTGTCCGACTCTTCGTGACCCCATGGACCAGAGCACGCCAGGCACTTCTGTCCTCCACTGCCTCCCTCAGTTTGGCCAAATTCATGCTGGTAGCTTCAAGAATACCATCCAACCATCTCATTCTCTGTCGTCCCCTTCTCCTTGTGCCCTCCATCTTTCCCAACATCAGGGTCTTTTCCAGGGAGTCTTCTCTTCTCATGAGGTGGCCAAAGTATTGGAGCCTCAGCTTCACGATCTGTCCTTCCAGTGAGCACTCAGGGCTGATTTCCTTAAGAATGGATACGTTTGATCTTCTTGCAGTCCATGGGACTCTCAAGAGTCTCCTCCAGCACCATAATTCAAAAGCATCAATTCTTCGGCGATCAGCCTTCTTTATGGTCCAGCTCTCACTTCCATACATCACTACTGGGAAAACCATGGCTTTACTATACGGACCTTTGTTGGCAAGGTGATGTCTCTGCTTTTTAAGATGTTGTCTAGGTTTGCCATCGCCTTTCTCCCAAGGAGCAGGCGTCTTTTAATTTCGTGACTGCTGTCACCATCTGCAGTGATCATGGAGCCCAAGAAAGTAAAATCTCTCACTGCCTCCATTTCTTCCCCTTCTATTTGCCAGGAGGTGATGGGCCCAGTGGCCATGATCTTCGTTTTTTGATATTGAGCTTCAGACCATATTTTGCGCTCTCCTCTTTCACCCTCATTAAAAGGTTCTTTAATTCCTCTTCACTTTCTGCCATCAAGGTTGTGTCATCTGCATATCTGAGGTTGTTGATATTTCATTCGGCAATCTTAATTCCGGCTTGGGATTCATCCAGCCCAGCCTTTCGCATGATGAATTCTGCATATAAGTTAAATAAGCAGGGAGACAATATACAGCCTTGCCGTACTCCTTTCCCAATTTTAAACCAATCAGTTGTTCCATATCCAGTTCTAACTGTAGCTTCTTGTCCCACATAGAGATTTCTCAGGAGACAGATGAGGTGATCCGGCACTCCCATTTCTTTAAGAGCTTGCCATAGTTTGCTGTGGTCGACACAGTCAAAGGCTTTTGCATAGTCAATGAGGCAGAAGTAGATGTCTTTCTGGAACTCTCTAGCTTCCTCCATAATCCAGTGCATGTTTGCAATTTGGTCTCTGGTTCCTCTGCCTTTTCTAAATCCAGCTTGCACTTCTGGGAGTTCTCGGTCCACATACTGCTTGAGCCTTCCTTGTAGAATTTTAAGCATAACCTTGCTAGCATGTGAAATGAGTGAAATTGTGCGGTAGTTGGAGCATTCTTTGGCACTGCCTTTCTTTGGGATTGGGATGTAGACTGATCTTCTCCAATCCTCTGGCCACTCCTTTTCCTACACCTCTTTTAATTGATCTTGTTGATCCTTCATTTCTACTAATATTTTATGAATTTCACTGGTTTCCTCTTTTATAATGACATTTTCTTCTTTATCTCCTCTTTCTATAGTTTTTTTCAAATTTTGTATATTCTTTCATTTCTTGTTTCCCCTTAACCACCTGTTTTCTGGGGATTATACCATCTTCTTTTATTAATTATAGGTTACTTATCCCCATTACAAAATTTATTATTTATACTTTGCCAACCCTTTACCTCTGTCTCTGATATCTTACTTGGTAACATTCTAAATTAAAAATTTATTCTACACAAAATTTTGATTTTGATTATCGCTATTCTTCCAAACTATGAAAGCTTAATTTTTGTATATTCCTCCAACTTTTCCTTAATTTCCCTCTTTAATTTTTTAAGATTCTCTTGTTCTAAATTTTCTAAATTTCTTGTTATATTCATTCCCTAATACCTTATTACATTTCTTAATTTTATATCTGGTTTTTTTTTTCCTTCAAAATTTTTCATTTTTCACCTTCATCGTAGTGAAATATCAACATCTCTGATTTGGCCCAATTAATTCACAACCCTGTTATTTCTCAATTTATTTTTTTCAAATGTGCCTCTATTACCTTTTTCTCCCCCTCTTTTTCTCCAACCCTTCCTTGCACACAGGCCATGGTAACCCGATGAATCTTCCTCCTCCCACTCATATGACTGCTAAGCATCCATTTTGCCTTCTGCACAATTATGACGCCACCATCGTTTCCTATTCCTCATACCCTTCCGTATCCCTGCTTTCATCTTCACCCCATTCCCATGCCTCTCACTCTTTCCACAGGGAAGGGTTTGATATGTGAAGGGGATATAAATCGTGTTGTTTTTAAAAAAATAGACATAGGATCTTCATGCCAACAGAAACTATAGGCTTTTCCCTTGCGCGGTGATAGGTAGCTTCCTTTCTCCATTCTGCAGAGTTCCTGTGCACATAAAGTATTTGCTGCCAGAATCGCCAGTGTAAGGACTATGGCCGCTCTGTTATATAATGATCTAATTACTATAGTTCATGGTGGGGAGCTTCTGCAGAATCTCAACAGCGTTAAAATTCAAGGTTGTCCCAGTGCAAACATGGCCTATAAATTCCCCCTCCCCCATTTTTAAGAAAATGGGT